CACACACACACACACACACATCTTTAAACCACCAGCATATGTGATGTAGCGGTTCGGCGTTTTGCTGTCGCCTGCAGGAGACCCTAGTTCGATTCCCGAGTAGGGATATTTTTTATCGAGTACGTCGATCTTTCTGCTGAGATGTTGCATCCCTCTCAGCTTGGGTTGGCCTTGACAGGCAGTGTTGAAGTCTGCCTCCTGACTGATTTAAATTGTGTTGATGGGGTGTAAAAATCACCTCCATATTAATGAATAGTGATTGAAACCTATAATGCAGGTACCTGTGCACCAGTGCCATTGAGAGGTGAGAGAACACAGTCGTGAGGGCCTATCAATGTTAGCGGAATGCTTCTTCTTCTGCTTCTGTAGACGAGTCATTTGTTGGGTCGCCTCTGATAAAACGCCTTTTTCTCAAAATCAAAGTTTCGAGATAATCGCGATTTAATGAAGTTTTTTTCTGGTGCTAATTAAACAAACAAATATCAATGTTGTTTTTGTTTAACTATCCCACATGAAGATATATCTTATTTACCGTGATTACACCAAACTTTATCGAGTTTGAGCGAAAGACAAACAAACAAATAAGAAGAATGCGTTTTATCAGATCACCCTTGACATGACAACAAATCTCCTCCACTCCTCTCAGCTCTCTGCATTCCTCAGTGTGCCCCGTAGCTCCATATGGCTATCCATCCTCGGATGTCTTCGTCTGTCTGCCCCTCCTTCGTCCTCCCTGCCCCCCCCCCTTACCTTGTAGAAAAGGCATTAGAGAAATTTATTGAATACCAAAAAGGGAGTTCTCTTGGTTTGTTTTAGGAGCTTTTATGGCTTGGTACGCACTCCAAAGTAGGCCTACTGTTTATTAAATACCGCAACTTTCAGTTCAGAAATGGACTTTGACACATGCCCCATAACCATCCAGTATCCAGCCCACTTATTGTTTGTTTTATTGTTTTGTTTGTTTATTTGTTTTTCTTGTTTGTTTTGTTTTGTTTTGCTTTTTTTTTAAATTCGGGAAGGCTTTTTGTAATCTTACAGGTAAATAAATTGACTGGATTAAAAAAGAAAACTTATCTTCTTTTAGAATTGTGATATATAGATTTGGGTAGTATCGTTTCATTGTTCTGTCCCTTTGTACTTGTACCGCTAGGTGTCGGTCGAGGGGAAATGTACTATATTTATTGTCGGACGTGGGCTAGTTGTGACGCCTTTAGGATTGTCATTGGTCATGTTGTTTCTTTGGAGGATCTCTCTGACTTTGATATTCCATCTTCTTCTTGGTCTTTCTCTTGCTTTATTGGATGAATGTAATTTTCTTTTTACTTTTCCATCTTCTGGTTACGCAATTTATGTATAGTATATTACCACTCACACACACACATACGCACACGCGCACACACACACACTCATACACACACACACACACACACACACACACACACACACACACATACACACACACGCAGATGCGCGCAAACACACACACACACACACACACACACACACACACACACACACATACATACACACACACACACACACACACACACACACACACACACACACACACACACACACACACACATACTCCATACCAATGATAAAAAAATATAATAATTTTTATTTTAAATAAAAAATTTATAATACTATTCACAAGTGTACAAATGTAATAGACTCTAGTGTATTCACAGATGTGCACATTCAAAAGTGAGTTTGAGCATACATTAACTCATTTTAATATGTGGAATGTATCCACAATTTCTAATGCATGAAATATATTGCATAACTCACAAATGGAGCTTATTCAATAATGCCTCACAAACATAATACGAATTACCAATGCCTTTCACCCCTGGCACTGTATATGCCACATACAAGCTCCTTCCATTAATCTCTATCCTGGGCCTTCCTTCCTAGCTCGTTCCAAGTGAGCTTCATCTCTCTCGTGCTCCCTGTGGGTTCCATTGCAGTGATTGTCTTATGATGTTTCTGCTGGGCTTTCTGAAGGTGTGTCATCCTATTTCAACTTCTATATTGACTATATCCTTTTGTCCTGTCCTTTCCCATAGCTCTTCATTTGTTATTCTATCCTGCCTCTTAAATCTTAGGATACTCCTCATACATTTGGATTTGTCGATCACCTTCCTGTTTTGCGTCTTCTTCTGTTGATTTGTATTTTTAGTAGGAGATGCTGTAGAAGAGGATGAGGGAACACGTTCCCACCAGGATGGTCAGACTGATGACCCTGAGACACACGGCGTCCACCAGGTGAGCCACGTCCTTCCACGTAGTGGTGGTCATGACCCCGCCTCCCTCGCGCCCTGGTCTCTCTCCGAGATGACCGCTAGTGACACCAGTCTCCGTGAAATGCACAGCGTCCTCCGACAAATCATTATACTTTCTGTCCCGGCGATCAGCGTTATTAATATACTGACGAGACGCGCCACGCCCACTGGAACCATTGGAAGTCGCGGAACCGTCTGAAGGAGAATGTCTCCCACAATCAACAGAGTTGTGGAGGTTAGAATATGTGTTGTTCGTGTTTCGAGAATCGAACTGACCGTTGAAATGTTTCGTGATTCCGGAGTTGCTTGATGTAAGTTTGTTACGAGGAGCTGAGGAGGAGGAGGAGGAGGGGGAGGGGGAGGGGGAGGAGGAGGAGGAGGAGGAGGAGGAGGAGGAGGAGGAGGAGGAGGAGGAGGAGGAGGAGGAGGCATTGGTCTTGCAGGCGAAGGGTCTGAAGATCTTGTCACACGTAGAGATGACCCATCGCGGCACGGGGTCGTCCTCTGGTCGGCTGTACATCGTGACCGTCCAGGCCGTGAGGAGGGTGGCCACCGTGCCCATGCACATCACGCCGGTCAAGTAGATCTCTGGAATACACACATAGCGGGAAAACAATCAATCAGTGCTGTCCCATGTTCGTGGATCTCATCTAAAATTCCTAAAGTAGTAAATGAGAACAGCAGCAAGACAGCTCTCGACATAAACTCAAAGAAATAAAAAACAAAACCTTTTACTTTTACCCGCCGCTTATACCCGTTTGGGTGTCGCGGGAAGAAAGAGGCGTCTCCCTGTCGCCAGCCTGGTCAATCTTAATTAATTAATTAATTAGTCACCACTTCTGTTCCTCAACACACACAATGATGTAGAAAATATTCACATAATCCAGATGACTTGAAAAGCAAACTGCATTAGGCAGAAATAATCCAGTGTCAAAGCATGAGAAAACAACAATTCAAACTGACCGCCGCACCCTGCGTAGGCTTATCACTACTAATGATCTACAAGGTTGTGGGCTTACTACACGGGTGTGTAAGCCCACAAGGAATCTAGGTCAGTAGCGCGCAGGTGGCCTGATTATATGACCGTCTAGGGTCCGGGGGATGCCGTGGGTTGTTAATTTTTTCCCTGACTCCATCTATCCAGGTCTTTTTCGGTTGCCCTCTAGCCTTGTTGTCATCGAATTTTTGGATGTAGGCAAGTTGTGCTGGATGGTGTGTTGGTAATCGTAGGAGATGTCGGAACCATTTGATTCTTTGGTGTTGGATGTGATGCATGACATCATTTGTGCCCACCATTTCTCGGATTACTAAGTTTCTAATTTTGTCTCGCCTGGTCTTGTTTACTGCTTTTCTAAGGCATCACATTTCACATGTTGTAATTCTTTGCTCTAATGTCTTGTTCGTGGTTCCTGTTTGGCATTGATAAGTGAGTGTTGGGATGAATATGGTGTTGATCATTTTGAGTTTTGTTGTCAAGGGGATGTTAGGATGTTTCAGTAGTGGAGTAAGCTGGTAACTAACATTATTTGCCTTTTGTACACAGGTTTCAATTTCTCAGTTCAGTCGCCCGTATTCTGTGAATATACTCCCGAGGTACTTAAATTCTTGGACCTGTCTGAGACTGTTGTTGTTGATGTGCATCCTGGGTGGTTCTGGCTTTCTGCTTACTTTCATTGCCTCTATTTTGTTGATGTTGATCTTCATGTCGCAGTTGTTACATTCTTCGTTTAATCTGGTGGTGCAGTGTTGGAGACTTCGTTCATCTTTGTGTGCCAGGCTTTGGTCATCAGCGAAGAGTAATTCATTCAGGGTGTCTGGTTCTGTGTTGGCCTCTTTTTTAATTCTATCCATATATATGATAAATAGTAGTGGTGATAGGACACAACTTTGTCTTACTCCGGATGTTATCTCGAACCATTCTGTGAGTCCCTCTGACGTTCTTACTGTACTTACGCTGTTCTCATAAATGGCACGTATGTTATCTAGAAGTTGGCCCCTTACAGTGTAGTTTTCGAGTTTTTTCTTTTCACAGCTTGTTTCTGTTCACTCTGTGGAACGCTTTCTCCTGGTCGATAAATACTATATTTAGTTCCCTGTTGGGTTCTTTTACCCTTTTGCACATTTGTCGTAGGGCAAATATTGCGTCGGTGCATCCTCTTCCCTTTCTAAATCCCATTTGGGCCTCACTCAGAAATGGTTCAACTTTGCGTCTTGTCGGGCAGGTGTGTACACTACACCAGGGAGCAGACGCTTTTACTCTATTTTGGAGCCAAATGAAGGGCAAAGGGGAAAAGATTGCTCGCGCACTCGGCTAAAGCGAGACTGCACTTTTACCCATCATCATCATCATCATCATCATCATCATCATCATCATCATCATCATCATCATCCTTCTCTTTCTCCTCCTTCTGTAATCAACAAGAAAACTCACGCAGCACAGAGATCTCGGTGGAGATGGGCGGCAGACTGTCAGCGACCAGTGTGAGGAGAACGATGAAGGTGAGCAGCACGGTGAGAGAGTAGCTCATCTTCTCCCCGCATTCAAAGGGCAGGACGAACACAGCGCTCATCAGCAGAGAGCACAACACAGCTGGCACGATCAGGGTCAAGGACAGGAACACCCACTTCCGCCGGAACCTTAAACTGGAAGAGTGGAAAAGGGAGGGAAAAGCAATTTAAAAGGGGGGAAAGGGAGGGAGAGAGAGAGAGAGAGAGAGAGAGAGAGAGAGAGAGAGAGAGAGAGAGAGAGAGAGAGAGAGAGAGAGACCACTTGATTCGTCCATTTCTTCCAAAACTAAATAAACAATAATAGGCCTCATCATTGCCTTTCTCACCCTGCACCAGGGTATAGGCCACGGACAAAAAAGGTCTAGAAGTAACAAGTCGATGAGGTTCAGCTACACCTATTTCCTCCCGAACCTTAAACTGGAAGGGTGGAAGAAGGGGGAATAAAAAGACCCCCCCCCCCAAAAAAAAAGAGAAGACCACGGCATCCGTTCACTTCTTCGAAAATTAGTTAATAATCGTAGTACCACATAGATCTAGAGCCTACTGATGAAGCGAACTCCCAGTGTTTTGATTTTGACCTGAAGGCTTGGAAACCGAATGATAATATTTTAAAATCTGAAAATCTGATGACACTAACAAAAACAAAACACTATCAAAAACAAAAACAAAAACAACCAAATTAAGCGGAAGTTCAGTCTAGGCTAGACTAAGTGACGAGCCGCACGAACAATTTGGTGATCCATCGTGGTGAAATCAGGCGCTCGTCAAAATAATAAAATAAAAGAAACAGGCATTTTCCCGCCATGTTGGCAATTTTAATCATTTTTTTGTTTTTTGACTCAACACCTTTAAGACTACACCAAAACACATTTCCATGTGAATTTGACTGAAATATGTTGATCAAAGACACAAAATAATGTATGTAATATTTCAGTTTTCAAGGACTCTCAAGCTATCGAACTTACTAAATTTTGGCGTCCATTTTCTCGCTAATTTTATCACTGAAATCAGACGACTCCACCTCCTTCAATCGCTAACATATCAACTTCTATTCAAGATAGGTGGGTATTTTTTGTCATTGAAAGCAAGGCAAATGAATAATCTTTTAGGTTATACCAATAACTCCACATGCCCAATATCTTGGGAGCGTCTGATTCCAACACGTCATGGCACATTTATTATAAGATGCATCTTTATTGTCCAGATCTTGGCACATTGGTTTCGTGTTTCACCACGCACACACACACGCACGCACACACACACACACACACACACACACACACACACACACACACATACACACACACATACACACACATACACACACACAAACAAACATGCACACACACACGCAGGCTTACAGTCACATGCATAATATAAATGAACAGCAATATAAACTATAATAATCTTAAGCTAGATACTCAAGTTATTCTGACGCATGCTCTAAGGCCATATGAATACTTATAACAAGATGGTTAAGATGGTAGAATTTCGATGGATGATGGAAAAAAATGACTTTCTGTATCTTTCTTTGTTACTGATCAGAAGCCTAGGTATTCTACATCTGACTGATGTTTTTATTTGAGAGAACAAGGGATGTTTGTCGTCTAAAAAGATGGGACAAATATTTTAGTGCAAGCTGTTACGTACAATTATCCAACCAAGTTGGGAAATATAGATGTTGAAATTGTATTATTTCCGTATTAATCATTATATTTTATTGTGACTGTCCTTGCCTGGTTCTCACTCTCTGAATACTGTCGCCACCAGACTGAACCTTCTCCGACTGTAGGCTTGACCCCTCGTAGACCCACTCGCCATTGGGGCTGTACACGCTAGTCACGGACTCACTATCAGAACTGGAATAATCTTGTCTTGGATACATATAGATTTCCTGTGGGACAAATTGAGTAGGGTACCGTAAACTGGGATGGCATTTCATTTCATGGGTAGGGAAACACGTGCACATGATGTAATACAGTATAAGCCCACGCTGTAAACAGAAAATTAACAATACAATAGTAAATAATAATGATAAAACTGGCTACAAGATAGATAAACAAAACAAAACAAAATCGAAAAAAGACCCCGCATGCATCTAACCAAAAAACAAAAGACCGCACTGAAATATCCGTTAATATTTATAGATCTATGTGTACTCACTTTAGCAGTGTATCCCCATGCATAGATTTTGATGACGCATGTTTGAGAGTCAAAGGGGAAGCTGAGTATCCGAGTCTCGCAGTACACTTTGAGCACGCTCGGTATGTACCACACGACCAACCCGTCATGTTGTATACGGATCGGTGGTTTGACCTCATCGGCGATGACAGTAATTTTCTCTATTCTGAGGATATAGATGATATTTATGATAATAGATAGCATTGATTGTACATGTATAGTGCAGATTCCCGCTCAGCAGCAAGCTCTCTAAGCTAAGCTCTTTACAATCTATTACATGTATTACCCCGGCAGACCTGAAAGCATTCTGAAACAATCTCAGCTTCATGGGAAGTACAAAGTCCAAGCTGCCATTTTATAAGCTCTTAAATACCAATATTATAGTTATAAGCATTTTTATGTGAGGCACTGTGGTAAAATTGGGCGCTCGTCAAAATAATGAAATCCGAGAAATCGGCTTTTTTTAACCGGTTTGGAATTT